ACTGCTGGATTCCGTTGAGCCAGGATGGATGGGGTGACACTTGCAGCACAGAGTAGTGATGGAAGGTTCCTTGAAGTTCACCTCTTGTCTGAGGACCGCTGTTCGTGCGGTCACGGCTGTTGACTCATTTCATTGCAGGGTCACACTGCGTCATTCTGGTTTGGCTTGCAGGAAGCAAAGAGCAGCTTGCTTGATGCAGAGAATTTATAAATTAGGAGGGTTGATATCATTTCAAAATCAAGCACTTAAGAAAGAAGACTGTTGCCAGGCTGCACCGGCTGGCTGGCTTTCGGGAGCTCGGGCTGAGCTGTGCCAGTATCTTCAACAAGAATGTGTTCAGAGGCCATCAGAAAGGTCTTTCCAGAGCTGTCAGGGATAACTAAATAGCTACCCTATCTGAAGTTACAGCCCTGTGGAGGCTGTACTTGAAGAGGGTCCACACACTGGAAATGTACCAAGATGCAACCCACAAATCTATAGCAAGGACAAACCCAGGGAGTGCAGGCTGTCCGGTGGGGAATGAGGCAGCCAGAGAATTTTCCATGGGGCCAGATCAGTCAGGAGCTGGCTCTGCCTCTCCCTGAGTCAGACGTGAAAAGCTGAGTGGTTCAAGTGCTCAGATCCAGTCTGAGGGCAAATGCAATTTGAATCCATGAAAGTGAAGAACAGGGAGGGTGCAGGATTGGAACTCCCACCTTTGCTGTTTCCTAGCAGGTTGTGCAAGGAGGGGCTGGTTACTTCCCTGAAGGGCCCCAGCTCCCTCACCCATAAAGGGAAATAAACCAGAGGAAACCTGGACAGTATAATTGGCCCTTGTATGGATGGATTCTGCATCCACAGATCCAACCAATCACAGATCAAACGTATTCAGGGGGAAAAATCGCATCTGATTGAACATATGCAGACCTTTTTTTTTTCTTGTCACCATCCCCTAAATAATACAGCATAAGAGCCATTTATAACTCTTATTAGGCAAGATTTATAATTAGGTATTATAAATCATCTAGAGATGATTTAAAGTCTGCAGGAGGGTATCCATGGGTTATATGCAAATACTACACATCTTATATCAGGGACTTGAGCATCTACGAATGTTGGTATCCTAGTTGGGGCTGGGGATCCTGGAACCAAGTTCCGCTGACACCAAGAGACAACTATATTTTGAGTAGTATGAGGGAAAAGGCTCACCCAGCCCTGGGCCTGGCCTATAATCAGTGCTAGGTAGAGGTTAGCATGGATAATAATCTTTATTAATTAGTGAATAATCTTTAGCCAGAAATTACAGACCCGTCTTTTATTCGGCACTGTGCTGGGGATGGAACCCAGGACTCTTGCGTGCTAGGCAAGTACTCCACCACTGAATGACATCCCCGACCCTCGTATGTTCCTTAAATTTTAGTCAGGAGTTTGTAGCTTATGTTCGGCAGCCCACCCTTCCTTGCTGAGGCATCTGATGACTCTACTTGAAACTGGTTGGTTTTCTAGTGTGAACCTGAAAATAAGAGGGCCGGGCATTCGAGACTGGATGGGGTCAGCCTTGTTCAGTCTTTATTTGATTTTTAAATGTTTGGTGCTGCTGGGGATCAGCTGCTTGTGAGGCAGGCACTCTACCACTGAGCCACACCCCAGCCCTTATTCAGGCTAATGGCAGCCTGCTTGCTCAGGTGGGGAAGGTTCAGGGTCTCCAGTCTCACTTCTGTTTCCTTCCCACTTCTCCTTTCACATCTCTTCCCATCCGTCTTCTTTCCCCCCATGCTCCTTTTTTTTTTAATTCTCTCACCCCTTCCCTGTCAATCTTACTTGTTTCTCCTAAAGGCCTGGCCACCAAGCGTCGGCATTAGCTTTCCACTGAAGTGATTCAGTCTTCATCCTCCACCTCCTCCATCACCAGTAGGTACCTGTTGAGTCCAGTCCCCTCAAGGGGCCTTCCAGCCACTCCTTCTCCAAATGCCTGACTATTCTGTGCCCCCCACCACCACCTCTTAAAGGCTCCACAGCATCTCCCACTAGCACCCCCCTGGGGACCAAGCCTTTAACACATGGGCTTTGGGGAGACATTGAACTTGCAAAGTATAGCAAACATTCACAAGGCCCTGATGGTATTTGCACTCAGTATTTGGTCTGCATTTTAGCCAGAATGGTCTGTTGTGATGTGGAAAACCCCTGGGGGCAGGACTCTGCTAAGATCTGATAGGCCTACAGAAGCTCAGGGAAATGTGTTGGCTTTGGAATAGAAATGGAAGTTAGTTTGTTGTTTTTGTTAAGTTCTGGCGGTTCCCTGCTACACCTGGCTGAGGCTATTTCTCAACTGATAAATCCAGGGTTTCAGTTCTCTGGCTGTGTTTGGGAATTAGAGGATATGAGTATTCAAAATTGTCTTTGTTAAGGAGAAGCAAGTTAGGTTTTTTTTATTAGTTTAAGATTATCTTATGGTAAATAATGCAATAACCACTGTCCAAAACACTAACAAGTTGGTTGTCAGCTGGCAATATTGTTAGAACAGTGTGTAATCCCTGGGATTAGTTTGATTAGGACGTTTTCCCCTCTTCTGGGTTCTTCATTCTTTGAGCTGCATCAAAACTTAGTGTTGGGGCTGCAGATGTGGCTCAGGGAGGAAGTGCATGCCTAGCATGTGTGAGACCCCTGGGCTTGATCTCCAGTTCAGAAAAAAAAAAACACCTTTGAGTAGAGTCTGGGCAGAGCCAGGGAGGTGCTCCAGACCCAGAGGACAAGAATGATGTGTAAATTAGAAACACAGTTGATAATTAACATGGAAAAGTACCTATTAGTTATAGGATATTATCTACTTGCAAATAAAATAAAAAGAATCCCTGCAACTATAACAACACCTAACACTGGAATGAGCTTGCTAAGTGCTGGACACTCTTGCAAGTTCATCACATATGTCACTTTATTTAACCCTCATGGCAACCCTGTGCAGTGGGTATGGCATGGAGGTAGCGTCATTTAACCATTAGGAAGATGGACACTCTCAGCCCTGAATTCAGGGAAAGCAAGGCTGCTGGAGACTGGATGAGATGGGGGAACCCATCGTAGTTCATTTGGGCTGCTATCACAAAATATCTTAAATTGGGTGGCTTATAAACAAGAGAAATTTACTTCTTACAGTTCTGGAGGCTGGGAAGTCCAAGATCAAGGTGCCAACAGATCTGGTGCCTGGTGAGGACCCACTTATAGTGGCTTCTTGCTGTATCCTCACTTGCTGAAAGGGCAAGGCTGTTCTCTAGGACTTTTGTTTTGTTTTTAGAAAGGCATTAATCCCATTCATGAGGGCTCCACCCTCTGACCTAATCACCTTCCAAACGCCCCAACCCCTAATAACATCACCTTGGGTGTTAAGATTTTGACACATGAACTTGGGGGACACAAACATTTAGACCACAGCAGAGTCCATTGTCCCTCAAAGGATGGATCTGTTGCTACTTTCTTAAAAAGAAATATTAGCTGATAATTGTTTATACTTGTGACAATAATAATTCTCGATTTTTTATGAAAAAAGTTCTATTTTTGGTATTAAGAATATTATGACTTTGCTTAGCATAGGCCTTTTGGATAACCCAAAATTCTCCTAGGAACTCAAAGTAGCAACCCTTGTTACCCAAGTCCAAATGCAGCACCTGCAGATTTTGAGAATCACCTTTAGTTTCATTCATTGAGCACAGGTTCATCAGAGGTGCTGAAATCAAAAGCAAAGTAAGGAAAGAACATTATATTAGTTATAACAAAATATCTGAGATGATTAACTTAAAGAGAAAAGTTTTAATTTGGATCAAAGTTTTGGAGGTTCCAGCCCAAGATCAATTGAGCTCATTGCTTTGGGCTTCTCCTGGGTGGTAGACAGCGAAGGCAGCATGTGACAGAGCAAACTGCTCACCTCATGGCCACCTTATGAAGCAAAAAAGAGAAAAGAGATCCCACAATCCCCTTAAATGCCCCCAATGACCTAAGGACCTCCCAGTAAGCCCCACCTCTTAAAGGCTCCACAGCATCTCCCGATGGCACCATCCTGGGGACCAAGCCTTTAACACGGGCCTTTGGAGGACATTGAACATGCAAAGCATAAAAAATATTCACAAGGTCCTAATGATATCTAAACTAGGTGTTTGGTCTACATTTTAGCCAAAATTCTCTCTCTGGAAATCAACTTACTTTGGGATTACATTCTGTTGAGTGACAGATTTTCTTTGAAGGGCTGGTATCTCTGACTTATTGCCAGCATTCCTAATATTGGTGGTGTTATTTAGTAATAAAATCATAATAAACTCTTTATGGTGACCCAGTCACCCAGCTCACACATTCAGCCCATCTTCAACTACTTCTCTATTATGAGTCATGGAAAATATTTGATTTGAAAACAATGTGGTGGTCAGTGAGTTGCAAATGGCATACTTTGCACTATGTGTGATTTCTTCCTGTCCCTTCTATTAATGTCAATAGTGGAACCAAAAAAATTGGAAACCTGAAGCACTGTTGCTGAGAATGTTTCAAGTCAAGGCTTCTGTTCTGATCGCTATTATTCATTAGGTAGCTACCCAGATATGGACAAAAGGGTAAGTTTAAGGGGACAGTGGCAAAGCAAGATTCTGTCCCTCAGAGAAGGAAAACATGGACTTTTTCAAGGTCAAAAATCTCAACTAGTTACAGGAGTTAGTGGTGTATAATAATATATGACAGTTTATTGGTGTGTAGGAGACAGATGTGCAAGAAATTGTGGCAGGATGATTTACAAGAGTGTAACAGAAAAGCACAACCATGGGTGTTATTAATATTATATTGCAGGCTTTGCCATTTGAATGAATACAAATGAATGAGTCAGAGTTGGCTTTGTAAGTTTTTATATGCTTATATAATTAGAAAAATTATCTCCTTAAGGGCTGGACTTATAAATATTTGCTTAATATGATTCATTAATTAAACATGTGAAAGTACTTATTTAGCATAAAACTAGGGGACTCTCGGTATCCGTTTTGTTTTTTCAGAATGAAAGTGCCCTTGTGAAAGAAAAAGAGCTGTCAATCGAACTTGCAAACATCAGGGATGAAGTTGGTAAGTAGGGCATTGGAAATGAGGACCATAAAGAATGTCTTTTCCTGATTCCTGTGAATGTGTAACAAAAGCAATTATGTCTCCTGTAAAAAGCCCGAGCAAACCTGCCTGAACGAATGAAGTGGCTTACCCAGCACAGCGGTAGGCTGCTGAAGCCTCGCGGGGAGCCATAATTTTTACGTGTCTGTTGTTATAAAGACAGCCTCATAACAGTTAGCAGTGGAACTAATCACGCCTTGACTCTGCTACTCACAGATGGCGGCACATACATCAGTCTGTGTTGTTGGCTGTGACAAGCACCCCTCTATCTAAGCACCTCTGATAATATGTGGGGCTGCCTGCTAAATGCAGATGTTGCATGGCTGCCTGCCACTGTATACAACCTGCCATGAAATACCCTGTGAACTAGAACAAGATCAAAAACAGATCTGTCTGGGTCAAAACTATGGGGATGCATGTTGAAAGGACTAATATTTGGCCATTGGAGTGGTTTAGTTCAGTCAGAACCACGAGAGGCTTTCCCAACAAGAGGATGATCCCCAACCACAGAGGATGTGAGGAGAGATGGGCTCTCTCTGACTTTTGTCTGTCTCTTTGTCCTCTGGACAAAGTGTTACCGCTGTTGACCGGTGACAAGTCCTTGCTTCCCCAATGTTGAAGAATAACACCAGAGAAGCACGCCGAGGCAAGGTCACAGTAGAAATTAGAAGTTTATTAAAGGACAGCAGAAAAGACTTCTCCCGGAGGAAGAAGGGGACCCAAGAGATGGAATCCGTGGAAGTGCGGGTTGTCTCTCCATTTTATAGTTTTCGGTGATGGAATGTAGGTGGGAAGGCCCGAAGGGTTGGGACACAGGTGGGCCAAAGAGGTAATCTGGGCACTTCCGAGTCAGCATCTTTAAGTTTGCTGTTCATTAACATTTCTTTGGGATGGGCTATCTTCAAATCTGCTGGGGGCTGTTTCCTGGACTTCATTAAGATTCCTAGAGTTGCTCAGCTTTTCCGGGAATTCATTCTCATGGCCTCCATTTTAGATTTCACTCGATATTAGACCCGATTTACCTAAGTACACTGACTACCTAATTTTAAATCTGGCTTCAAAAGGACTAGTTGGAGTATTTGCATGTTCTCACTTCTTGATCCTATTTTCTTTCTTGACCACCCATGACTCCATTTCTCCAGGAATCAATCAGCAAAAGTGAAATACACATGGCCCCTCCCTATTGGCCTGCTTTTCTTCTCTATCTGGTGTGGTCCTGGGAACAGCTCACCTGAACAGGTGTGGCCCCTCCACCAATGAAGGGACTTGGACCATCCCAGCCATCCTCAGCCAGTGGCCAGCCACACAGATAGGCCTGCAGCTGTGCTGTGGTCAGGGCAGTGAATTTCAAACTTAGCTTTCCTCCACTGATTTCTTTCCTCCCCCTCTTCTTTAAAATTTATTTTTTCTTTCTGGTGGGTTTTGTGTCTTCTTTTGTAGTTGGAATAGATCAGCAATGGTCACTACTCCCCTCTAAGAAGAGCAGGCCCCTGTGGGAAGGCAACAATAACAGTGCTCCATGCCAGTCTCACCCAGTGTGACCTACAGCTGCAGGGCACCTGCTCCTGGCCACCACTGAGAAGGAGCCAGGGAATTAAAAATCCAGATATAGGCTTTTATGGGTGATCCCAGCCAGGAAAGGCAATGGCGGCACGTGGGAGGGAAACTCCGGAGAAGCTGGGGTGCAGGAGAGCAGGGCTGACACTGTTGGGTGGAAGAGCAGCCACCAGAGAGGGAGAGGTGACACCTGCTCCCCTCTGGAAAAGTCTCATCCTTGCTTATTACTGCAGCTGTTGTTTTCCTGGTGACTGAGTCTCATTTCTTAAAGTCACCACCATTCCCTTCCATCTATTTTTCTTTGGGTATCAACCAGGGCCTTCTCAGCTGCAGCTCCCAAGACCTCAGTGCCAAGGCTCCCAAGCTTGCAGCCTCTGTCTCCACTGGAGTTCCTTTCCCACGGTGGCCCCCCATGAACCAGACCCCACTTAGGTTCTCAAGGGCTCGCGTGGAGAGTGACCCCTCTACACACACTTTTTTTTCACGAAGGGAAGCCCCTGGCACACTTGCTGGTGGTGAGCCTGCCAAATGCTGGGGACTGTTTTCATTCCCCTCCAAGGAGGCCTCCCATCCATCCACCAGTGGAGCCATTGGTTCCCTGCACAGTTGGACTGTTTATTCTGTGAATGTGCACATCGAACATACCTGTGCACACACATGGGACCTTCTCATTGATGACTCCCCATGGTCTCCTGAAAAGAACATTCCTCCCTCTTCTTCCATTGTATCCAAAAAGGTATCTCCTTCCTGGATTCTAACTGCAGAGACCCACCCCTCCCATTTCCCGACCTCAGGCTCTATATGCAATGTACTGTGACTTGAGACATCTCCCTCCCAGTAAAGCTGCAAAAGAATGAGTTTGACCTAAACTGACCCTTAGGCCAATTCCCAGGTAATTTAAGCATGAAGACAGCTGTGAGCCCTTGGTCTTGCCTCTTCTGGAATCACGGCCCTCCCCTTCAAGATGGCCCCTAGTGGCACTATATGAGGCATGGGGTAGAAGTTCCAGAATTCTTGATTCGCAGTGAGCAATGTCTCCATAATTATTTTCAGATTCCCAAGGGCAAATACATACTCACAACTCCCTTACTAAGTAGGTAGATCTAGGTGACTTAGGTGTCTATGTCTTAACAACTTAATTGCCTTTTTGAAAAACGAGCATAAATTGAAAGAAAAGAATTATATTTCCATTTCATAGGAGAAACCGTGATTACTTGCTAGTGGTAGATGTGGGCTGTGGGGCCCAGCACAGCTTCTCAAACTGTAGAAGCAGGTTGGACCATGCCACCTTCGGTTCCTGTTTCACAGCTTTTCTGTGTGTACTTTTTATCACAGCAACATCCAAAACCTCAGCTCCGCTAAGATTAGGTATCACCAAAAGGAATGAAGTGAGCTGTGTTGCACTAATGTCAGACTGTGAACTGGAGCTCCTGAGGGCCAACAAAGACCCAGCACTGATGTGCTACCCTGGGAATTTTAAGATGCCCCACAATGTCTCTGTGAGTTTGCCATAGTGACTTCAGATACCCCAGCACACAGTTTTGGAAGCACAAGCTTAGTGTCATTTCTCTGTTCTCAGAGGTCAAGAGATTTGAGGATGAAAATGGGTAGGTCAGCCAGGAATGGTAATCCCAGCGACTTGGATGGCTGAGGCAGAAGGATCACAGGTTCAAAGCCAGCCTCAGCAACTTAGCAAGGCCCTAAGCAACTTAATACAATGTGTCTTAAAATTAACACACACACACACACACACACACACACACATACACAAACACAGGGCTGGGGGTATGGCTCAGTGGTTAAGTGCTCCTGGGTTCAATCCTCAGTACCAAAAAAAAGGGGGGGGGGCGGTCTTTAGAAACTCAGGAACTGAAAGTTGTTGATGATTGTTCATGCAGAAAAGTATACAGTCTTGACCCATGTGAATTATACCTCCTGCCACCTTCTTTTCCTCTTTGAGCAAGACACGATGGTGTTAACTTAGGGAGTGATAAGTTAAGTCAATGAAAACATTGACTTAATAGATTTTCTCTGAAGTTTTCCATTGGGAGGTATCATGTCCATAGACCTGAAATACTATAAGCCAGCCTCTGAGTACGTTTCTCCATGAAATGGATGAGTTTGTAGGTGGTTCCAAGGGCTGGAGGTTCCCAGCATGGGCTTCATAGGGTGAGTTGTTTGGCCTCCCTGTCCCTCAAGTTCCCTTTCATAAAATGGAAAGCCAATTACAGAAGAAAATGCTGATACAGCACTCAGCAAAGGTGACTCTTATAACTATAGCACCTTGAATCTAAAAATAGAGTACAAAAATCTCCTCTATCTTGGGAAAAGATACAACATATCCCTCCCCAGAGAGATGTCTACCCTACCACAGGCAAACTTTGGATCTGGGGAGGTACAACTGATGCAGCTGAGTTTAGTGTGCCAAGTCCAAGGCCACAGCTCTCTGCGCTTCTGAAAACTTCTAAATGCAACAAGCCTTTCTCAAGAATTACATCTTTTCTTTTTTGAAGTCATTTGTTTTCTGCATTAGTGCTAAGAATAGAACCAAAATTTATCTGCCAAATAAAAAAAGCCTGTGGAGGCAGGGCAGAAAGCCCTGGCAGCACACCTTGTCTGTTCAGCCCATCATTTGTCTCAAGGATACTTCATGAGCAAGGTCCAAATCCACTGTCCATATTGCATATGTCAGGGGGCGGGGGATGGGGAATGTGGGGATCCACTGTCAACTGTAAGGCCCATAAATTCTGGAGTCTCCACCTGCCCTGTGTTTCCTGGAATAAGAAGAGAATAAAGCTGATAAACCTCACTGCTAAATGATCCAGAGAGAGACATGGTCAGCCTCAAGCCCTCACCAGCAGCCCTACCCTTAGTCCTACCTCTTATCAGCTTGTCTGATAGCAGTCACTAGAGGTAGGGGGATGTAGAAAGAGTCTGAGGGAATGTAATTTCCAAATCTGTGAATTCAGACAGAAGAAAGGAAGAAGCTGCCAAAAGTCAGAATCATTCAGGCATATTTATCACAGATTCCAGAACAGGGCTGGCTTGTCCTGCAAATCTAGCTTTCTGCTTAAACTTTCTCACATCCCCTTGTGAAGTACAGTGAAGTCTGAGAACCAGTGAACACACTGATTTGGGTCAGAAACAAGGTCAGGGAGCAGCAGTAGGTAACTTGGGAAAGGCCTGAGAGGGTGGGCTCCCATGGTTGAGGGCTCGCTCTGGGCTGCAGGGAGGACAGTGAAAGAAACTCACATGCAGGGGGAAGAGTCCAGAGTCTCAGGGAATTGGTTGTTGATGTGGAAAATTCTGCCCCTCGCCGACATTTGGTGTCCGAAACATCACTCCGAGAATGGTCTTGAGGTTTACTTGCCATTCCATTTAATGCTGACTCTTAACTACTCAGA